GGGTTAGGGTTAGGATAGGAGCTGTGGGGGGGTAGAGGTACGGGTTAGGGTTAGGATAGGAGCTGTGGGGGGGTTAGGGTTAGGGTTAGGTTTTGGGCTGATTTAAGACCAGACGAGCCGCCGCGTTATGGATATTTTTAACTTTGAAGAAGCTAGAATTCATTCTTAAGCTTGACCAAGATGAGTTTGAAAACTACAGGAAAAAACGGAGAAACTATCTAGAAAAACTTATGAACAACAATCTGGCTGAAGCGATAAGTTATGGACTCCACTAGTTTGTTCCAGTAACAGAGTTTTACATGTATTCGATGAAACATGCAAACAGTCTGGATGGTCTTAAGCTGGTGAAGGCTCTGCTAGACCACAGTCCACTGATGACCGGAGGGGTCCAGTTGTGATATAAGCATTTGCCTTTGCATTTAGCTGTCTTAATGGTTGCCCAGTTTGAGGCCGATGGACCAATGGACTGGAGCTAGATTAGACCGAAGATGTCTAGGACAGACTGGGTTTCATTTTCCAATGTAATCCTGACTGGGGGGGGGGGGCTTGTGTGAGCCCCTTCAGACGTGATTTTACTGGATCTTCTGCCATTCACGTCCGTTAAAAGCTTCTTTCACCAAAGCTGTGCTGCTTGAATCGTTTTTGTTCGGAGGCTTCTGGAAGGTGTGAGTCATCCTCGGTTACCATTTCCCTTCATCCTGAGGCAGATTTGGGCCACCAAAGGTTAATGTATGTAGCCATTCTCGTCCATCTGGTGACATTTAAGAGGCACCCATACACTGGGGGAAATAAGTATTTGACCCCTTGCTGATTTTGCAGGTTTGCCCACTTACAAAGAATGCGACGATCTATAACTTTAATCATATGTACATTCTAACAGTGAAAGACAGAATCCCAAAGAAAATTCCAGAAAATCACATCATATGAATTTATAAAAATTGATAACCATCTGATGAGGAAAAATAAGCATTCTTTGTAAGTGGGCAAACCTGCAAAATCAGCAAGGGGTCAAA